AAAAATCAGTAAATTGTTATTTTATCAATGAAATTGAAAATGAATATCTTATACTGAATTTAATGAAACGTAATTTTTAAATGAAGGGAAATGTTGCAGATGATGTTAATATTAAAAGTTAATACTACGATACCAATATCGCACATCGATAAAGTAGAATGTTTCGAAATTATTGCAAATGTTCTCCAACAGAAAGGGGAGAAATGGCTATACCTAGCGAGGATATATACTTTTATGTGAGACAAGAGATGTAGCGATAAAAACATTTAGGATATGAGTACAATAAATCCTTACATGTTGCGTATTGCATCGCAACTTATGTACATACAAGACATGTAGCAAAGTTAGCACAAAAACTGTTGACATTATTTTGTTTTTCAGTATTGCGCTGTAGCTCTGACATATATACGAGTATATACATTGCATGTTACATTTTAAACTTTTAGTCGGCATTAAAAATTTCTATAAAGTATGTAGTACTTTTGTGAGTTAAGTGTGTGTATCGTTATGCAAATACGTTAGTGTGTGTGTGTGTGTCTCGCAGTTTACTTTGCCAATTCAATAAATTGCATTGAGTAAGTGGCTCATCACTCTGTCGCTCACATTGAAGGGCTCTCCCGCCGCCGTTTATGTTCAAATCCCTTTCCTATAGACGAGTGCTTTCAACGTTTACGGAATGAGGGAACATCACGCTCTCAACATTCTGATCCTCTTTGTTGTTTTCTTTTCTGAAAAACTGAATCTTTTAGTTTTATATAAATTGATAGTGGTATTTAACAGTAGTTGAGCCCGCTTTAGCATCTTCGCACTATTTGGCCCGGCTCTCCCGGCTCGCCCGGTGAAATACCACGACCACACAGGAGACAGGCGAGTGAATAAAAAAATAGAGATAAAAATATATCACAATTCTTGGACAAAAATGTTCTATTAGGAGAATGAAAAATAACTTCTAATATTATAATAAAATTACTGTAGTAATAGGACAGTTGTAAACTATATTATATTTTCATTTATTAAAGACATTAAATGAAATACGTGCAGCTTTCTACCACTTGACGCCGGCATAATCAGTGTTAATCTGCCTCCAATATTCTGGTCACGGAGCAGTTCCTAAGTAAGAGTTAATCCCTTGGCTTAAGACTCACAGCTCGCCTGCGAGAGGGCGCGCTGAGAAGGCCAGGCGCTGTGTTCTCGCTGAGGGGAGGATCACAATAGAAGGATTACGATAAGTTTCAGAACATGTCTAATCAAGTAACCATTCTCTTAATGAAATATAGCAATCGTTTTTATTGCTGCGCGACAAGTTGCGCCTGGTGCAGTTGTAAAATTGAAAAGAATATTTATTAGTTAAATATCTACTTTAAAGTGTAGATTCTAAAACCTAGTCTTTGCTTTGTAGTCACAATACGTTAGTTTCATAACATTAAAGTTATGTTTGTAATATGAGAAAAAAACATGACTAAAAATGATAGTTTTGCGCCGCACAATTTATCCCCCGTTCTCTGGGGGACGCTGCGAGTTGATTGCGGTCATGCTGACCCTCACTGGTCGTCTTTACAATAAAATTATTACAAGAAAGGACTTATGTAAGTTTTTGTAGATTTAACATCATTGGTTTAAGTATCAAATAATAAATAAGCGTGGTTATAAAGTATTTATAATCTGTAAATATGTAAGTGCTGGGGAAATCTAATCATTCTTTTATGACAGTAAACTAATAAGGTTACATCAATAAGCTTTGAAAATCCTTTATCCTATAAAGTATGTACCGGTGATGATCTGGCAGGACTGGTAATGTTGTCTGTCGCTGCTAAGGTATATGAACTTCGAGAGCTATGAGACAGAGAATCAAAAACTGGATTAGATGCGTGAGTCTGACCCAAGCGGGAGGAAATTCTCTCAATTTTAGACGTCGCATTGTCTACACGATTCCAATACCTTTTTTGAAGTTTTTGTTAAACATTTGTAATTTTTAGAAATGTTTTTATTCATTAAAACTAAACCAGCGTATTGTAATAATACATAGCATTACGAAAGTCCTTACATTGTATATGTAAGTAATGTTTGTGACAACAGGCGATGACATATTGTGATGGCAAGTGATAGCGACGGACAATTTATTTGAAATACGAAATAAGTTTGCGGTGTGCGGAGGCGGAAGGTCCGGAGGACGCCGGGAGAGGTCTCGAGGGACGCTGCTGGACGCCGCAGGACGCCGGAGGACGCCGGAGGACGCCACTGGCTATAGACGAGCGCTCAATCACTGTCGCACGCATTCACTACACAACTCTGAAACGTTATTAATGAAATATGAGGGACTTTTATATTTCGTTTCTTTACATGTTTTATTTTTGGATATTTTTGTATCAAAATTAAGTGAACTATGGAAATGTTAAATAAACAATATTCATGTATCCCTACAACAGAGATTTTTTTAAAGTAAGCAAAAACTATTTCTTATAACATTTATGATGTGTTTGTCGACTGATCCTGATGAAGTATTGTATATTTTGTGTGAGCAAGTAAACTTTATCGTAACCTTTTGACGTTATTATAATTGGAAGGCGTCCCAGCGAGGGGTAAAGTCGGCAATTGCTAATGCAATTGACTTCAAAGCCATAAACTTAGATAGGGAATGGAGTAAGGGGTGAGTTATCCTTATTTATGTGGGAGCCAATCACTGCTGACTGCTGATTGGTGACTGCGAGGCCGCAAGTGTGTGGCAATGAAGGCAGCACTTGACCGGCCGCAATATCTCCAACTCAAGTGCAACATTACGTAGAGTCCCGCGAGACGCTCACCACTCTATTGGTACTTGTGCTCGAGATGCGATTGTGTTAATTTTCGTGAACCAGAAATACTTAGATATTCTGAAAAAGTTTCTAAATACAGACAATAGTTTTTACTGAAGGTATTCCCTCCTTAATATTGTTTAAATGATTTAATAATATTCTTTGAATAGATAAAGGTGCATTTTAAATGCACGAGGACGACTTGTTAGTTCCAATTCAAGTTACAAACTCTGCAGCACAAGTGGCCTCAACTCAACTTTGTTAACCTAGAGTTTAGTTTAGTACTGTTTTAAAATTTATTAAAACTCTCGTCGAAATCAGATAAAAATAGGCGACTAAAACACAAATTCATTATAAAAATGCAAAAACTTAGAACTTTGCATCTTGGAAATATTGATTTGACTGAGTTTTAGTTGGGGGTTTTATTTAATAGTATCCAAAATTAGTTTTTATTCATAAATAACTACATCAAGAAATAATTTTGAAAATAATACGAGTATGCATTATATGCAAGTCGTGTAAATCAGTGCAGTGCAGTAAGCTATCCTGCACTGCAGACTGCATGCGAACTGCAGACTAACACTTTGCTTTGTACAGGATCTCTGCAAATTATTTCATGTGTTTAATATAAAATGTTTTACCACATTTACAAGTGCAGACACAATTGTACATACAAAGAAACATTGCTAAATTTTTAAAACGCCAAGTAAACATATGTTAGAAGAAGAATTTAAAATACTTGACAATGTTTTGTTCAGGTGATAGTAGAAGTTACTGTAATGATCATTTACCTAACGTATGAGAAACAAATACAAATAATGGCTATAGTTATATGTGTTGTTGTTGTTGTTGTTCAGGTAAAGTTTAGTTTACTCTGACTGCATCTTAGTTTGCAGTGTATGCTGCAGCGTAGTGCAGAGATGCGGGTTTACTTGCAGCGGAGTTTCAATACTGATGTGATTGTTCTCTTGTTTACTTTTAAAAATGACACAGTTTTGTTTTACTAAATAGTAAAAACCGTTGTTGTATATTTAATTACGAAATTACGAATTGCGAAAAGGAAAACTAAGGATTTAAATTCAGAAACAAGAGTAATATTTTTTTCCCAAAATCCTAGTTTCTTTTAACAAAATAAAATTGTCTATATTTCGGGTAAACATCATATCCTATCTGGTATACATCGTTACAAAATTCATTTCCGATTGAAAAAAAAATCTGAATTGCATAAAAATGTAATAACACTAGTAAAGTTTAGGTCGCGTTGACTAACGACTGACTGACTCCCTCCCCCCCGTCCCTCTGTAAATGGCAGACAATGTGAGACACGTGCCCTGCTTCCCCCCCCCCCACCGCACCCCGCACCACGCGGGACACACACACACACACACACGCGCGGGTAACGGCTCGTGTGGACTTTTAGTCGAAACACAACCATTTCTTATCCTTTAGGGCTGTCTATTCTTTATAAATACATACATTCGAATTCATTGAACTGTTTCAATAATAATAAAATAATTAACTTGACTTTTTGTCTGTCGACAAAAGTAGACCATTTTAACGACGTAGAAATTATAATAATGTTTGTAATTTTATAACTACCAATAATAGTGGTTATAGGTGAAAACCCTATATCATAGTATGTGTAGTGTGAGGTAGGGGGCGCGGAGTGAGCGGGGAGACTGGCCTAAGTTCGATACGCTCGCTGCCGGTGCGGCGGCACGCGGCATGGCACGGCGCGGCGCGGCGACACACAATCCCTCGTAGCGCGTGTTGGTTCATGTTGGCCCGACCTCCCCACACAAAACATTAACGTTTTTTTGTCAATAAACACATACTCATGATATTTGTTTTTTCCTCGTTACGTGCTTTCTAAATGAAGTTTTTATGGCTACGTGCATACATACATATGTTGTCTCATAACAATATTTTGATATACTTATGTTTCTCCTATCGTCTTCAAAGTAAGGAAAAGAAAAGTACGAACTGAAATTACTTTCATTGATTTCGAAGCTCGAATATTCGTATTGTTTTGTTATGTTTAGACAACAATTTATACTTAAAATACAATTAACTGGAATAGTATAGCGACTCGTAAATGTTGAGTGGTTTTCGTTTATGACAATTGGAGTTTGTCTTTATGACAATTGAATTGGGTTTTTATGACAATTGACTTTTGTCACAATGAGAGGTGCATGTTGTTTGTCACAGATGGAACGTCCGTGGAGATGAGCGCCGGGTGCGCCGCCTGTCCCGCCCCGCCTCTCTCCGTCTCGCTCGCACTCCCCGCGGCGCGCTCGCGTCCTCTCCCTCCCGCGCCATGCCGCGCACGCACCGGCATCGCCTTCTCTCAATGCTGCACCTCTTACTTCTCACTGGTGAGTTTTTACTTACATTATTACAATAGTGAATTATTGTACTTATGTACATATAAGAAGATATAACTTTGTGGTTTTGATCTGAGGTGATCTGAGCAAAGCATCATTGACCAACTCGTCACTGATACATATTAATTATATATTCAACGTAATAAGATTTACTGTTTCGCCTGGGGGACTCGGGCGGCGGGGCGGCGGGGCGGGCGGGCGGCGCCTGATAGATGTTAAAAAGTGTAAACAATAAACGATCATTGTTATGATGCCGGCGTCAAATTGGACGCGGTGTCGAATAAAATGTGCGCTATAAATCTCCCTTTCCCTCGGCCATTATCGGCTCCGCTTCCGCTGCAATATCCCGACCGCGGCTCGTTTGTCAGCCGCAGAGTTTTCATAATACGCAGTTTATTACTGAAACTTGAGAATGATCTGTTGCACTGCACTCCACAGATAACTTCTGGTTTTCGTTAAAATTACGAAGCTGGGATGTATCAAATTAATTGGCCATTAACTAGCAATTTTGAAATCAGCGCAAAAACTTTTCTTTATGGTAGTAGGTAGTAGAACGGTTGTCCTTGGCCGAGGAGGAGGCGGTGGAGGGAATTCTTAATAAGGTGTTTGTTTGTTTGAGCTGTGAGCGCCACCAGTCACAGTCACGGAGCTAATTACGTGGCTTGCGGACGTGAGCCGAAACGACGCAAGAAGTGAGCGAATTCAGAGGAACACTTTAAAGTCATTCCTGTTTTATTTTTTAATTTAAGCTTTGTTTTGAAGCGACGTGTGATAAAATTGTAAATACGATAAAAGTCACTAACTTCTATCGGCACGTTAATGTTCCGATCTCTCTCTGAATGGATTCTGTCTTCCAAAATAATTCATCAAATGATTGTTGTAATGAAGCAATTGTGTTGGTGAACCTTATCTTCCTAAAACACAATGAACTCAACAAAATAAATAAGTACTCGTTTTATTTTATATTAATGTAAAGCTGTGCTGCGCCGCGCCGAACTCGACCTGGGAATTAAATGATTTAGTTGTCGCCGTCGATTGCCATAAATTGCGGTCTGAATGTTTTCAACCTTCGCCGCGGGACCGACAATTACCACAATGTTTTAACGTGGATCTGCGTACGTTTAAAATTACGACCTTTTGCATTTCAAAAGTTTTAGGGAAGGTAACCTTTGAAAATAAGTGCAAATTGCGTGCTCTTTGTAACTTAAAATGTTGGCAAAATAACACTAACACATTTCCATGTTAGTCGCGATGTCTCATGTGTGCGGAATAGTGCAGAATTATGAGTAGTGTTCCATTCTTGTCATGAGTTTAGTCAAATTCGTGACATTAGTTCTGTCTACGAAACTTTCCCCAACTTTGTATTCGTCGACAACTCTACGAATTTGTCGCTTCGTCTCTTTCCTCCTATATTGTCATCCTTATCTGTACGTCACTCACCGCGACTCTACGTCGTCGTTGTCGCGTCCCTTTCTCACACATAATATCCTCTTTGTCTAACGCTAGTGCATTTTACAGAGATGTAAGTTAGTTTTGTAAAAGTTTAGAATTGCTGCACAAATGTAGTTTTATTCTTTTGTTTGAAACAAGTCGCGGTCGCGCTGCGGGACTCGGATTTACTTTATAGTTGTTTCTGAGGAATAAGTTTACAACTGGGGAGATATTTCTATATGCTTACTCACTAACTGAACTCGACAGGTGTCGAATTGTGAAAGTAAAAAAAAAATCAAATTATCCCACCAAAGTTTCATAAAAATCTGTCCAATGTTATATGGACATTTAGAGGACGAGCATACAAAACTATATTTTTTGATATATTCTATTCATAACATTAATAATATATAGTTAAGTGTATAAAGTTTAGAGCAAATAATGAAATGTTCATGTTTTCGTTGAAAACGTTTTGTCGTGTCTTACAGAATGACATGAAAAATACCCTCGCGGGCGGTAAAATTGTTGCTTGTCCTTACAAAACTTTTTCTCACGTTATCCATCATAAATATGTAAAGGTGCGCACATTCGAGATGTTCTTATCGCACACGAGCCGATGTAAAATGACGCGAGTTTTTCGTTAAGGAAAATATCAAATCAACCTCCGACCTGAATTTCGTATGGAATAAGGTCACCTGTCAGTTCGTCACGCACGCGGCCAATCTGTACTGGAAATATGTAATTGTGTTATGTACTGCTTACATAAATATAAGCTACGTGACCTCTTTAACACAATAACTGTCACGAGTACCGCAAGTACCCTCAGAATGAGGAGTTTTTTTTGGGGTTTCTAAAATCTTTCGAAGTAATAATTGTGCGAAAACACAATAACTATAAGATGTATAACGTTCATATTGAAAAAATAGTCATAGTAAATATAATTCTGATGGAGAAATAAAGATAATAAGACTTGAAATAATAATAATAATGCAGCGATAATTCTCTACTTACGTATAAAGTCGGAGCTATTTAACGTAATCTCAGTCCACAGAGTAGCTATGAAGTGCACTGACCGCACTCTGCACGATTGGCTACTCTGTGCGCTGAGTGGCCACTTCTGAGAGTGGCCACATGTGACCTCCTCTTACTTACTAGAGGATACTTCTGACGCTCGCAGGATAATGATCGCTCTAAATATTTTATATCATCTTTGTACCTCTGATATTGATTTTAAAAACATTTTGAGTTTAAAAACTGAAAACCATAGTAAAGGTATTTATCGTTTAGCGGAGTGGCATGTCATGTAATTCTATTAGCTTTATGGTGCATCCATGATTAAATGAAATTGAACAGATTTCTTTCTAGCGTAAATAAGGTTTAAACCTTGTTTTTCAGTAAATTGCTGGCCACTTTATGATGAGATTATGTTTGGATTATGAGAGATAATAATACTCGTAATATAAAAACCTTGTAACAAGGGTGCTACAATCTCCATTGATATTGCTTACTTTACATTTACCTCAATATATCTAGTGAGTTAAGAAAGAAAATCTAGTATTTTAGATCAATTTGCTAAGATAATCAAAAATGACATCGCCATTACAGTAAAATACTTTAACAACTCGACGCCAGTCAACAAAGACAATGTCCTGCTATTATTTTTGTTTATGAAGTCACTGTCGCAAGAAATTAGTATCGAAGATTTTCCGCAAAGTGGCGAGGAATTGTATTTTACTGTTCAGAGTATAAAAGAATTATACACTTCAGTGAATCCAATTAAACAACAAAATCATTAAATCCCTTCGTCCCTTTTCGGTCTACATTAAGCTGTTTGTCCTAACTGCGGTCGTAACGCCGGCGCAGATGCGGGCTAATGTATTCAGCGTAACGCGAATTACATGATTGGTGTTTAATTAAGTAGAGATGATCCTGTGATTAATGGCGGCTTGTTCGCCTCAATGCCTTGATGTATGTCGCCACGCGCCGCCTCGAAGGGCATAGGAGTACGGGGGGCACAACCACGTGGGAGCATGGGGTCATGGGGGCACTTGTGTGCTCGAGTGTGCGTCTGGCGCTGTTAATGTACCAACAGCTTTAACAGTAATCGTACTTAAAGATAATTGTATTCATTTAATTACTTAATGGTTAGAAGGGATTTTAATTCATAAAGTTATATGTATAATTAAAAATCCAAATATCTATTAAGTTTTAATAACAACAGAACAGTACATTCAAAGAAAAAGAAAAGATTGTCTCATAGTCGTCGTAGAGTTAGCGCGTAGAGAGTAGCGTAGCCGTGACATTGTCGTAGGCAGCTGCGTAGACAGTGAATGTCAGTTTGACGTAGCGAGTTTCCCTACGACGTGTCTGTGCAGTCCGCTGGCTAAGCACAAAAGAACCGTTGCTCAGCTGTATGTGCGCCGTGAGTTTCGCAGCTCACTGCTCACTGCTGCTCACTGCTCAGTGCTGCTCACTGCTCAGTGCTCAGAGCTCAGAGCTCGCACGAGTTGAGTAATGACGTAGCGTTAACTGAGCGCTTTATCCGGATTCATTAGTTACGATGCAATATTTGACGTCGCCCAGTTTTATGTTCATCTTGTCTGCAGCACCCTCCCCGTCTGTCTCCCCCAACTCTACAGAGATATAAATTTTATACAAGTAAGTAGTGATTTATGTGTAGATAATTAGAATAATGAAAACTTGTAAGATTCGTTTCTTTCGATGTATTTTTGATTAATACAGCAAATCATATTCTCAGCTTATTTGTTCATTCATTGAATATTTTTCCAAACCATACTACGAAGGAAATATACGTTCACATATATATTATATAGTAATAGCCTCAGGCACAAATTCGCGTACCCTAAAAGAATAGGAGACAAATTAATGGCATAACACAAAGTGGCCGCGAGAGAGGCACCGTTGGGAGAGAAGAAGTGGGGGGGGGGGTGTGAGGGGTAGATTTAGTTGAGAGCTATTTGTTAGCTCTGATTGCCGAACGTTAAATTTTGTTTGATTAAATTCTCAACACAGATAAATTCGATCAGAATTCCTGAGGAGGAGAAAAAGAGCTCCCCATTCCCGATTCCATCTAAACAAGAATTTATACCGCCTCAAATGA